GGATTATTAATTAATCAATAAAGTCTCGCATTTTATGCTTGTTTGCAGTAAAAAAAAAAAAAAAAAAAAAAAAAAAAAAAAAAAAAAATTTGCTTATTTGATAAAGTATTTTTGTCCAAAGATGGGAAATTCATTATTGATTGAATCTATGATAAATAGGATAAATAGAATGGTGATTGAACTATTGGAATTATCGATAATTGTGCAGAGAGTTGTTGAACAAAAGAAAATAGCTACTGAACAAAATGTTGACTGAGAGACTGCTGAATGGAAGGTTGAATATAAAGCTACTGAATGGAGAGTTAAATAAAAGGCTGCTAAATGGAGAATTAACTGGAAAATTGTTAAACAGAATATTGAACAAAATGTTGAATAGAATGTTGAACAGAAAGTTGATCAAATGGCTGTTGAATGGAAAATTGATTGGATGGCATTTGAACAAAAGGTTGACCAGATAACTATTGAATAAAAAGTTAACCAAATGGCTGTTGAACGGAAAGTTGATTGGATAGCTGTTAAATGAAAGATTAACTGAATGGCTATTGAATAGCAGATTGATTGGATGGCTGTTGAATGGCAGGTTGGTTGGATAGTAGTTTTTCAAAGAATTGTTGATCAGATTATTGAAAGAATTTTTGAGCAAAAGATCATAAAGATGATTTTCTTTTTGGATTCATTTTTAAAAAATTTTTGGGAAAAACTATTTGCTTTTATACTTGATTTTTGTATAATCGTGACTTCATAATAAATAAATGATCACTACATCATTACTATTTTTTATTACTTGATTAATGAATTGTTATTATTTTATAATAATTCAATTATAATTTAATTAAAGTTATCTTGAAATTATATTGCCATAACAATATTTTATTAATAATTATAGTGATAACATTGTCACTATTTTGCAACTAAAAGTTGTTACAATATAGTTACAATTAGTTCATTATTTTTTTAAAAAGAGTTGGTAATTATGTCATCATTGAAATGATAATTTAATTGCTACGACATAGTAAAAATCATTAAATTGCAATTGAATCTTCATAATTCAGTCACAAAATCGCAATGATTACATGACCAAATTGTCAGAATTTAATAGGTTTCAATAAAGTTGATTATCATTTTCCTATAACAATATTAATTTTATTTTATTATTTATATTAACAAAAGTTATATTTTTAAGATTAATATTATTACAAAAATCAAACAATTGATCTTTTTTTAAATATTCAGTTTATTTATATAGTTTTAAAGTTTAAGTAACTTAATTATAATTTGATGATTTATGTTATTATAGTTTTAATTTAATTTTTTTTTAATTTTAATTTTTTTTATATTTAATCAAAAAATTCTAAATAAATAGACATAATTACTACTTAACTATATTTAATATATATAATATTGTTTAATTTTTTTTTGATATTATTTAGATATAAATATTTAAACAAGTTAGTATTTAATTTGTATATTTGTATTCAAATAATATTATTTTATTTGCATATATATAACTTTATAAGTATATATTATAAATAAAGAAATAATATTTACTTATTGAAAAAAAATCAATAAATTTTTTTGAAAAATATTATATGAAAAAAAATTTCGAATAAATAAATAAGTAATAAAAAAGATTTTTTTTTATGTATCAAATTATTTAAAATATTTTTTTTAATTACAAGTATTTATTTATTTTTATTATATATAATTATTTTTTCATAAATTTTGTAAAAAATAATATTTTAATATTAATAAATTAATTTTACTATATAATAACATAAAATTCTTATTAAAAATTTTCCATAAAATTATATATACATAAATGTTTTATCATTGTAAATTTATAACAACTCATTGTTTAATTATAATAAATATATAATAACAATATATATTATGTAATAATTATAAATATGTAATTGTATATAAATAACAAATAAAATTTAATTATAAATAAATAAATAAAAAATAAAAAAAGTTTATAAATATATATATATTTATTAATTTATTACATATAAATTTAATTATGCCAATATAAATAGGAAAATCAATATAATGTGGGGTAAGCAGAAAGCACACACATACAGTAACTAGTTATAGCATGCAGCTTGTATCTTTTTATTGAGCAAGTAAATTCAATCATAGACTCGATCAATAATCACACTATCATCTACTATTGATATTATTGATATCCAATTGATTTCTCCCGCTGATACTATATGTAAAAATTATATATTTGTAAAATCAAAAAAAAAAAAAGAGATCTCAGTATATGTTATGCTACGATTCTCTTTTTAGGAAAGAATCATTAAAAAATTTGTCAATGGATTTTCCTTTGATACTATGATCTTCAGGGTTTGAGATTTACTGTACGCACATTCTAAATGCAAACGCCTCATTGGTAATTATTAATTGTGTTGATATCATGACAGTGGTACAGTCAAATGGCAATAAATAAAGTTCAGTCCATAGATTAACATTTCGAGGTTTACTTGTTATAAACTTTAAGCGAAAAATCAAGCCTTGTTTGGATGCGCCGGAACAGAGTGTGGCAAAGGGACATGTCAAATTCAGTTAACCCTCAATCTATTAGTGACGTATTCATTCGTCGATTGATTGCCAAAAATATTTTGGCCAGACAAAAAACACTCACGAGTTGAGCACTAAAATAAATGGCACCGTTACCAAGGAAAGAGTGCATGAATTGAAGTGAGGGATGTGCATAGAAAAGGCTTTCTCTTTGTTGATCCAGTGATTGATGCATTTATGTGCAGCGGTGGCAATAGGGCTCGCACATAACGGTAATATTATAGGTACGTACTCTCGATTTTTCGTGGTGTCACGTTACTAAACTAATGGTGTGTACGCCCTAATGTACCATCCATTTTATGCTGTTTCTGAAAATTATTTTATATGGTATGACACACATGTTTTGCTAATACTAATCAGCTTAGAGCGAATGTTTATTTGATTCACCATATTAAATACTTACATAAAGTAATTAATTCCGGCGATATACAGTAAAAGATACATTCTCGTTAATAAATGACCTCTAGCTTTTGATCAAACTATCTTTTCTCTTGATACCCTCCCTGCTTCAATTTCATCTAACAAGGATTGTTCGGGAACTTTATGGATTATGTTCTTCAACAAAAGGTAAGGCATGCCCAGATCATTTCGCTGCATTCTACTGGATTATGTGCATTATTGTTTTTTGTACGTACTGACTTGCTAATAGTTTACATACCAGGTACTACTGATGTTATACCAATTAAATACGTTTAATTTATGGCTCTCGAATTGCACTATATATTTTGAATTTTTATTCTCCCACTTACTAACGTTTCTCCTTGAATCTCATTTCATCTAAACGATTAGTCATTCTTTTAACTCCCATTTTTTTTTTAACGTAACGACGAAACATCACATCTTGTTTCTATTTTTGTTAAACGACTACCTGAACAAACGTGTATCATTAAAGCGCCACTAGAGAACGCTACAACCAAAGTTTCCTTAAAGAGACCTTGGATTACGCGCTGCAATCAATTTAAGGACGACGAATTCTTTATTCATTAAAATTGAATGTATATAATATACATATAAACCTAACAAAAAAATATATAAATAACGAAAAAATTTACTAAATACATAAACACTTTGCGGGTCAAGGTTTTATGCATGAACCTGGTATATAATTGTTTGAAATAACCCTGCATAAAATTTCCACATTATCTACTCTTGAAGTACTGTTGAGGCGAGACGTCCAACGAACGAGCGAAGGAAGCAAAGAGTAGAAGGTGCAGCATCAAAAGTGAGCACCGGATCGGTAACATCAGACTCGCAATGAGACAACAAGTGATAAATAACTCGGTGGAAACATCTGAAGGTGAAGACAGGGCTTTTCACGTTGGTGTTAAACGTGGTGAAGGTAATTCATCGATATCGTTTCTCTTTATCGTAATCAACATTTCCTTTTAATGAGATCACTTATATATCATCTCTTCTCTTCCATGCTCATTTGAATTCGCGTATTCATGATCACCCAAAACGATAAATTCACAGTTGCCAATCGAATCTTGATAGTGAATGACTCTGCGCGAGCCATTGCACTCTCGAAATTACTGGATAAACATCCAAAACCATTCGTTCTTGAATCAAAACGCGGCGGCTTCCTCACTATCACCGGCCGTTACAATAAAGTTCCTATTAGCGTTATGTCGGTGATGGTTGTGCGTATTTATAACGAAACTAATTTTATGCGAGTTCGCAAATCCTACGCATGATTATCTTTGTGCTTAGAAAAATGCTAACCTTTCTTACATTCTTCTTTAATTCTAGGGTTACACGATGATGGACATCTTTCTCCGCGAAATTCGTCAGGTAGTTGATGGAGATTTGACCATAATACGCTTGGGAATGTGCGATTCAATAGGAAATCCAAATGTTGGTGATGTGATCGTGCCACACGGCGCATTCTCAATATCTAGGAATTATGACTATTTCATAAAAGGTGTTGATACCGTGGACTGTTTGCCGATAGTGGATAATCCTTATAATATTTCGAAAGTTGCGTACGGAAGTGAAGAGCTAAGTAGAGAGGTGGGTCTCTAATGATATTTTGGTCGCGAAAATTTTTTTAAAGAAATTTTTGATAAAATTTATTTACCGTTCCTGTACGAAATTAGTTGAAGGCAGAGTTATCCCAGGCTCTATATCCGTCACCAATTTACACCTGCCTCAACGCATCTTCTGATTCATTCTATGCTTCCCAAGGTAGAATCGATCCGAATTTCATTGATGATAACAATGAGTTGATCACCACTATTGTCGAAAAATATCCAGACGTACATATTATGGATATGGAAAATTTCATTCTCTACCATCTGGCAAACATGTGTAACTATAACCCTCAACCCCCATCCGTAAATTCTAAAGATGCTTCTCCAAATTCCTCACAAACAGGTATTGGGAACTATAGTAAACAAGATGGATTACTAGGAGTCAAAAATGGAGGTCATAACGGTAGCGGCATTCTGTTGAACTCTCACCTTAACTCTTCACAATCATCGTTCCACTCTTCCCAACAATCACAAAATGGAACACATTCACCTCTACATTCATCTCACTTAAAACCTCCCACAACTGATCTAGGTTCAGTTGGATCCATGAACTCCCTGAAATCTCGAGTTCCCCGAAATGATGGACTTACTCGTTCCAATCACTCAAGTACTACGGTATCAGCGAACTCGGTACCTCTGAAGCAAAAACATTCGTTGTCATTCCTGAAGAGCAGCAAATCAGGATTGAGTTCAGGAAGTGGTCACCGCAATTCTAATTCATTTTCTGGTTATAAATCGTTACAGCCTCAGATCACCGTTACCACCACCACAAATTCCCATATTACATATACCGCAAATCCATATTACTCAAACAATCGCCATCAAAATTCTTCCTCGACATTGAATAATTCTCACGTCTTTTCACAGTCGAACAACAGGAACTCCACAAGCATCAAGGCCACTTCTGCGATGATGATTTGTTATGACACAAAGACCAACTCACAAATACCGCCGGAGATGATGCAGAATCTGGAAAAGATATGTGGAGAAGCCATACTCAACACTCTAGCGAAAACGCAGGTCTGTTACGTGCATGAGGAGGAGGGCAGTGTTTGGAATTTTGATTATGTGGAGAGCATAAATGGAAAGAAGAAACGAACAAAAAGCATCAAGAAGAGTAAGGAGGGAGGCGTTGGGAAAGGGGAAAAATTAAATGTTAACGATAATAGAAGTGCGATGAACGGGAAAGTGGGTGGAGCATTTGAAAATAGTCATAATATTAACAATTTTAATAGCAAACATAATAATCATAATAATAATCGCGGTGGAAATCTGGAAATGATAAACGAAAAAGTAGAGAGGCATTATAGTAAAAGTCTGGATATCACTCGAAGCGCGGCCTATGACCGGAGTTTTGAATTGTGTAGGAATGATATCACATCTAAAAACAATTCATTTGGAGTGCCCAAGTTTAATAATTCTTTTGGCGCCAATTCTCCTTACGTCAAAAGTCCTCCATTTAAAAATAGTGACGTATTCAAGAGTGATGGTACAGAAACGATTGCGGGAAGGTATAGCATTGACATTGTGAATGGCAACAAGTATCAGAACTATGGTTCCAAGAACAGATTTGGAAAGATTTTTGGAGGTGGTGGTGGTAGTGCTGTGGCGAATGAAGCCATAGGAAGGTACAGCATTGATGTGGGTGGTGGGTATGATGCAAGGGGACACGTGATCTTTGAGGCGAGTGCGGAGGACGGGTATAAGGAAAGTGGAGGTGGAAAGTTGAGGAGAGTTATGAGCAGAATGCTGAAAATAAAAAAAAAGAGTAGCAATTTGAGAAAATGATTAAGGACTTTACGTTTAGAATACAATTGGGTAAATTAATTACTTTGATGTTTTATATAAAAAAATTTTCGATTTTTTTTTATTAAATAGCAAGCAATTTATTTATTTTTGTTAATAAAAAATAGTAAATTGTAATTATTTTTTTAACAAAAATAATTTAATAATATGCTAATGATAGTGACCTGAAGTTTGTAATACAGCATATGCCTTTTTATATTAAATAATTTGTTCTTTTCAATAAAGTCTACTCAAAATGGAGTTTGAATAAACCTTTTTAACATTATATTAAATAATGTTTATGCAAAATTTTATTTATTTATTTATTTTTACTTTTATTTTACTTTTAATCAGATTATAATCTGAGAATATTTATTGATTTTTGTTTCAAATACAATATCAATATTATGTTATAGTCAAATATTTATTAATTGAATACATTTTTTAAAATTTTTGAATTTTTGAATTTATATTAAAACTATTATGTTATCTATACAATCATGTTATTTATTAACTATTTTATTATAAGAAAGTAAATCTATTAAGCTGTTACTATATAATATTAACTATTTGGACTTTTGAAATTCGTTTAATTCTTTAAATATAATTATAAGAAATAAAAAATTACAAGGATTTTTTTTTTGAAAAAGTAAATATATAAAAATATTTTATATTTAATTTAAAACATTATAATTAATATATATTTAAAATTATTATTTTAATATATATTAAAAAAATTTTTTTAATACAATTACTTTCAAAAATTTTATTAATAAAAAACTTAAAATTCCTATATTTTAAAAATTTTATTAAAATATTTATTTTTCATTAACAAATTTTGTTATCTAATTATATAATCAAATATTTTATAAAAAATTTATTAATTAATATTTTGTTAAATCTTAAGAGATTATATATAATATTAATTATTAAAAAATATATAAACAAGATATTATTTATACTTAATAAAAAAAAACTTTATTATAGTTCTATATAATTTGTGAGAGCTCCTCTATACTTAAAATATTTAACTAATTTTATAATACTTTTGATTTCAAAATACTGTAATTAACTTATTTAATAAATATATAAAAGAACTTTATAACAATAGTTATAACAATTTGATGACATTCAGAATCAAACTACTTTTGGATACTATTTTATATAAGAATTTCTTTACAATCTATATTCTAAACACTATAAAGATCTATATTGTTCCAGGTGCAGTTTTTAATTAGAAATCATCTTTTACATCTTCAATTGCTCTAAAACAAAAGAAGAAATTAAACAAATTATAAGTTTGATTAATTTAATACTTTATCCAAATAATAATAATCATCTAATCTTTAATATATAAAAAGTAGTCACTCGCATACAATTACCATATTAGGAAACACAGCGAAAAGAAAGAGACATGAGTTCAAACAGAACTCTCAGAGGC